AATGCACCATTAAGCAAGTTTTTATTAAGTACACTCACTTTTCTAGAGGATAACAACATTCACTAGCAGAGGTGTCAAAGTTTGGAGATTGTACTACAGCAGTCTGAGACTTAACCTGGGCTTCTTATCTACAAGAAAAAAAAAGCATTAAAACCATAAAAGGAAGTTCCCATGTACTTTTTTTTAAATATTAATTTTTAAAAAACAATAAAAATTCAATTAAAACACCAATTATGAAGTGAACCCACATTTGAGAAATATTGTTGTACTTTCCATAAGCAGATATAAGATTAAAACAAAGTGGACTTCATGACATTAATCATTTTGTTGACTGAGAAATAGTAAGTATAAAAACACAGGATGAACTAAAGGGGTACAAAAGGTTTCTGATTTTCAGGGGTCTATGATCAGTCTCTTGTTCCAGTCACCTTCTCTCACAAACTATTTTGTAAGAGAGACCAAAGCTCCCTCCAAAGACAAGTAGCTTCCTTTCTCCACCTACAGCTGCTTTCTCCAGAATTAAACAATGCTCTATTTTCCATACACACCTGGCCCCACATTTCTGCCTTTTTAGGTACAGTTCTGGTGTAACACCACTCTAAACCATTCACCTGATAGTCAAAATTCTCCATTTCTAGAAGGGGTGAAAACAACCAAGTTTAAAACAAAAGGAAGGGAGGATGGGAACAGAGTGCTGAGCTACAGAACAAATGCTGCTTCTGAAAATCCTGTGCAAGTGTCTTATAAAGGGAATAAAACTGCAACACTGGCCCAGCTGTCCCCCGCAAGGATTTCCTTTAACACTGAAAGGCCAATTAAAACATTGCTAAAGCAAGAAGCACACTCATCAGTTAATGCTGTCTTTAGATACAAAAGCTTCATGCTATGCAAGAGCCCAGTTTTACACTGTATCTTGCGATGGCTTAAGAAATGTTTGTCACCATCATGCTACAAAAAAAGAAATCTAGGTTATCTTGAAATAACTTTGAACTAAGTCTTTTTAATAACAACTCAGAAACCACTGTCAGCTGAGTTACTGAACACTGCTTTTATGTGACAACTGAATTCTATTACCTGACAGCTGCTTTCTAAGCATGTCACCACCAAACCGAATTAAAGCTTCCAAAAGGCTCCCGGGGTGTGGAAGCCAAGGACTGCTGCAGATATCAAAGTCACCGCAGCTGCAGCAACAAAAAGGGTGCATTCATCAAAGCCCCCTACTAAAAAGATGCTGAAGGGAATGCTTAAGACATACTACACGTTTTAAGGGACCTTCTTTGTACAAATAACTAATGAAACCAAGAATTGCAAAGCATTAAGAACTGAAATACAAATAAGTAATAAAACCAAGAGCTGCTAAGTATCAATCCCTGCAATAAGGCATCTGGCTAACCTTTAATGAGTACCTCCTACAGGTAATCCCTAAACTGCCGTAAAAGCAAAGAATCCCCACAGCACCCAGGCAGCAAAACACGCACACGAGCGTGCCGCTGTACACACAGAAAACGAGCTAGCAACGCCCAAGGCGGCGGGGGAGCGGCCAGCCCGGCCGGACCCGCTCCCGCGGGGACAGCACCGCCGCTGCCGGGCCACGAGCCGCCGCTCTCCCGCCACACCCTGAAGGTGCCGCGCCCAGCACCGGCTCCGCTGCTGCAGCCGGCCCGCCCTCGCGCCTCGGAGCCGCACGAGCGGAGCCCGGGCGGGCCGTGAGGCGCCAGGGTCCGCCCGCGCCGGGCCCCCGCTCACCTCCGTCCCGCCATGATGCAATCGCGCCCGGCGCAGCATGGCCGGAAGCGCCGCCGCCGCCGCGGCCAATCGGCGCGCGGCTCTCAGCGGCCGCGCGGAGGAGCTTTGCAAGGCGGCCGCCCATTGGGCGCGAGCTCCCCCGGTGCGGGGCGTCACGGCGGCGCGGGGCAGCTCGGGAAAGCGGGCGTTCCCCTCACGGGCTCGGTGAAGCGAACCCGAGCCATGGCCCCGGGACCCTTCAGCCGCGGGCCCCGGCACAAGGCCGGGCAGCAGCTGTGCTGCGTGCCCTGCACAGCCCCAGCCGGCTCGAACCCTGCGGGACCGGCACGCTGGGTTTCTCCCAGTAACTGCATGCCAAGGGCCTCTGCCGAGCTCCTCTCCGGAGCCCTACCTTACCTCCCTTAAAGGGCATATTTTAAAATTTTTAAAAATAAATTTAAAAATAAAAATATATATACCAATTCTTAAGGCTGTAACTACAACAGAAACCCCTCCTCTGCTGCTAAAAAAATATTTAAAACATTTTTTAAAACCAAACTTGTAGATGGGTTCTTCCATGTCAAAAGAAACTTAAGGGTTTGAAAAAATATTATTGCTGGCTGGCAGCCACTGAGAAATTACAAAACATTTCATGATACATTAAAAAGCATTTCCTTCACTTTTCTAGTGCAGAAAACAGCTGTGAAAAGGCTCTCGACAGGGAAAAATAGAAGTGAGGCAGAAAGGTGAGGGAAGGAGATTTCCCAGCCTGCACACCTGAACCCTGCCCAGAACAGAGTGTGGGGAATGAAGTCCAGGTCAACAATGCACAAACAGCTCAGCTGCCTCCAAGTAATGATTTCAAACTGCTCTAAAACCTTTTTACTCATAGAGATGTAGGTACCAATGAAGGTTTCAATAAAAGCTTTGGTTGTTAATTTGCAGGACTGGGTAGAGGATGAATTCACTGCTCTGTGCAGGACAGTGTCAGTGGGTGGATTAGAGACAATCCAGATGTGAAGGGAGGCACATTAACTGGAATTCTTTCCTGCACAAAGTAGCACAAGACTCCTTTCTACACAAAATTTCCTACATCCTTCTAGAACAGCTAAAAGGAATGCAGACTCAATCTGCACCAAACTCACAGAAACAGAAGAGAAAATGAGAACTGAGGCCAGCCTGAGCTGGGCTGACCAGCCAGGCAGGAGAGACTGCGTGCGTGTGGTTGCCAGGGGAGAGTCCCTCATACAAACACAGAGTTCTGGGATGTTCTGTATCCAGGAGGGAAGTTTGGAGCGCCAGAAGTTTATTCAAGCCACGCTGCTGCCTAATACATCTGTGAAAAAGCCTGTGACAGCTCGGGATGTGGATTCTGCCACATGATGTGGCATTTCTTTACAAACATCCTCATGAACTCTGAAAGCGCTGCAGCCTCCCCCTGCTCTCACATGCCCTCAGATCTCAGATTTTAGACAGCTGCTGCTGGCTCCAGTGCCAACCCCTTCCATTTTGGCCTTTGGTTTGTAAAACACACAGGTGACAACGCCAGCTGAGTTTAAATGGAATTCCATATAATTCCAGAATGGAATTTGAAACAAACACTGCTTAGAAATACACACTCTAAAGCAGTGAAACAGACAAATGTGGGCAGTTTGTTTTTGGCAACGTAGACTCCGTACTCGGCCGAAATCCAGACCTTTACCTTGTCTCCCCGTGTATATTTTGTACTTCTTTGCCCTTCACTGTTATATTGTAAATAAAATGTTACCTGCATGGGAGTTGCTACTCTTGTTCATGAACAGCCTTTACTTGGGAGCATTTGGGCAACACTGAACTTGTTTTCCATTAACAAGTTGGGAGGCAGTGGGGAGGGGGTGAACACGGAAGTCACTGTCACATTAGTTACACAGAGGCAGAAAAACGCCACCCAAAACAGATTGGAAAATCAGGGGAAATTTGTAGCAGAGGGACCAAGGCCCAGCACAAGTAACTGGGACATTCCCCAAACTACAAGAATGAATGCCTCTGCTCTCATTTTTCACTCTAGACTGATGAAAAAGCACCGATTCAGCTGGAGAGGTTAAAGGGGGAAAACCACCAAAGCCACCGTGAAGCCTCAGGAGGGGACTCCCCTGCCATGAAGCGTCTGAGCGGGAAGGCACGGGCACCATTTTGTGGGACCCGCGGGAAGGTCACCGCTGCCCGGTGGCGCCGGCCGCAGCATGGAGCTGCAGAGGAAGGGCGGCCGCGGGCACTGGCACTGAGCGCCGCGGCTTCTCCAGCGCCCGGTGCCGGCCTCAGGCCGCCTCTTCTCCCTTCCCGCTGGCCCCGCGGCCATTTCACCACCACCCCCCCCCCCCATTCCCAACCAGCGCCCCTCACGGGCGGCGTGCGCGGCTTGCGTAGCGGTTTGCGTACAGCCGCTGCAATGAACGGGCGTCCTACGCGGTTTGCGTTGCGCCGCTGCAATGAACGGGCGTCCTACGCGGTTTGCGTTGCGCCGCTGCAAGGAATGGGGTCCGTACGAGGTTTGCGTGGCGCCGCTGCAAGGGGCGGGCGGGCAACGGTGCTTGCGCGGGGAGCTGAGCGTAAAGGCCCTTCGTGAATAGGGCATGAACAAAATGCGCTCGCAGCTCTGAGCCAAGCCAAAGCGCGCCCAAGGGGGTAGAGATCCCGGAATAACCCGGGATAACACGGGAGATTCGAAGGCGCGGGCTGCGGTGACGCGACGACTCCGCGCTCCTCGGGCGCGGAGGGCCAAGTTTGGCGGGGACAGGCCGGCTGAGGAGCGGCTGTGCTGCCCCGACCCTCCCCCGCGGCGCGGCGGCACTTGGACTGCGCCGGAGGTCATAAGTAGGGGTTGCGCCGGAGCGCGTCGGCAGTGGGCGCGGGGCGGCGGGCGGTGCGCGCGCTCCCTGTGCGGTCCCTGAGCCTCGGCGCCTTCCCCTCCCCTCCCCTCGCTCGCTTCGCTCCCGGGCCCTGCCCCGGCCCGCCGTGCCCGGCGCAGCGCTGACAGCCCGGCAGCGCCCGGCCGGGGAGTAGGCGAGACCATCTCCGAAGAGGCGGCTTGGAACCCGTCAAGCTGCCCCGCAGCCCGCAGCCGTTCAGCCAGGCTATGCGCTGCCAACGGGCTCCGCTCAAGAAAAAAACAGAGCGGATCGTGAAAAGGTAGAGGCGCCCGCAGAGGCCCCCGCAGGGCTCTTGGGAAGCGGCCGCTCAGCCCGGAGAGAAGCGGAGGACGCGCCGGAGAGGCGACGGCGCAGGAGCAGCGCGGCGGGGGCGTCCCGGCGGCTCGGAGCATGTGAGAGGCCGGGGGGCCGCGATGCTGCGACGCGCGGAGTTCATCGTGTGCCCGCCCTGGGAGCCCGCCCGCGGCGAGGGGGTGCCGGGGGGCGCCTCCCCGACGCCGCTGAAGGGCGGCGAGCCCCGGCGGGGCGGCAGCCGCTCCCGTTGGCCGCCCGGGCGGCGCGGGAGGGTCCCCGGCGGGGCGCGGAAGCTGCTGGGCAGCCGCACGCACAGCCACTTCCAGCACTACCAGCACCAGCAGCTGCAGCAGCAGCACTGCCGCGCCTTCCGCCGCTGCCACCGCCCGGCGCGGCCGCGGGTGCTGCTCTCCCTGCGGCCCGTCAATGTGCTGGGCCGGCGGGCGCCGGGCATGCGGGCGCCCCGCAACACCAACCAGTTCCTGATGCGGGAGAAGTACCAGCTCATGCACCTGCGCTCGGACTCGGTGGGCACCGAGAGCGGTGGGTCGGACTGCGAGATGGACCCGCTGGACATGGACTCGTACCTGGGGGTGCTGGAGAACGCCCGCGGAGCGCTGATGGAGTGCGCGGGGGAGCCCGGACCCGCCGCCCGCTCCCCGCCCGCCCGGGCCGGGGCCGAGGCAGCCGCGGGTTCCCCGCAGGAGGAGAGCCAGCAGTACTTCCCCTCGGAGGACGATGTGATCGAGAGCGAGCTCTTCATGGAGAGGGACTTCGACGAGTTCTGCAGCAGGATCGCCTGAGCCCCGGGCCGCGGAGGAGCGGAACCCCGCTGACTTGGAGCCTTTCCGCTTCGGAGGGGGGCGGGGGGAGAAGTTTATTTATTTCTCAGCCATTCCTTTGCGTTTTTGTCAGGGGGGCTGGCTAATTTTACAAATGTGCGTGTGTAAACAGGGGGGAGCCCCCGGAGCTCCCCTTGTAAATAAAGTGAACTTTTCTGAAGGAGACATCAAAGCGGATCGCGCTTTTTGGGTTTTGGGGGGGAGCGGGGGGGCCGCAGGGACAGGCAGAGCCGCCGTCGGGGGCAGTGAAGAGACCAGGAGGGAGGGAGGGAGGGGACGGGCAGTGACCGGGCAGGGGGGCGGTGACGGCCAAAGTCGCGGCGGAAAAGTTTCACGCCTCTCTGGCGCTCGCCCCGATTCTGGTTTACGACGGCGAAGTCGTTTAACGATCGCGGAGGGCGGCCGAGGCAGCGGCCCTTGACACGCGGGCACGGGGAGCGGCAGGAGCGGAGAGCCGCAGCAGCTCGGCACTCTGCAGCTCCGGGAGGGAGCCTGCCCGGCCCTCCCGGCTCCGCTCGGCTCGGCTCGGTGCGGGCACAGCGGGGAAGGGAAACACCAAAGCCATTGATCGGCCCTGCAGGTTTTTATTGACCCTCCCTCGCTGGGAAATGTTGGGGGCGCTTTGGCCGGAGCTTCCATGGCTGCCCCGTGCTCCTGAGAGCAGGTTTATTTCTATTTTACCAACTACAGCAGAGGGAGAAATGTCTAGAACGAGGTTTAAAGGGCCACCAGCTGAAACAACTTCTCCAGAGCCAGTTAGAATTATGTTTAAGTACCGTGCAGGGAGCAGATCTGATCCACATTAAACTCACCAACCTCCTGAGAAGGGAGCGAGGAGGCATCAATTCCAGCTAGAAATGGTTAAAAATTAGAGCAGGTAGCACATTCCTGGCACTTGTTGCCAGGGGAGAAGAGAGGGACATTGTTTTATATTGTCTGAAACAGGAGATGCGGGGCCATCATTTCTCGAGGTGCCTCCTGCTCGCTCGGCTCCCTGTCACGGACCTTGTGCTTTCCCCCGTGTGCAGACACGGTGAGATCAGAGCGTGCCAGAAGGACAAATTGAAGAAAAATTTGCAGCTAAAGGTGTCCCTGCCCATGGCAGGGGGCTGGAACTGGATGATCTTTAGGGACCCTTCCAACCCAAAACATTCTGGGGTTCTGTGGGATGTTTCTTGCAATTACAGAGACGGAAACAGGAGTTAACTGTTACCCTTACAAAGGAAACTATTTTAAGACAAAATACTCGAAATTTGTAGTACCTCAGTTGCAATCCTATGAAAAGAAATGTCCAAAGACACCATTTTCTTCACCCTTAAGAAACAACACTGCTGAACACATTAAGACCAACATCATGTTTATTTTCTTTGGAATTAGCCAAGTGGTCTATACATGCTTATTCTGGGAATTTCACTCCATGGGAACTTCCAGGAGAGGCACAGGGAGAAATAAACCTCTCACATGGGTAAATGAAACCTAAGTTTGCACCAGTTTGGTCATCAGCAAGTTTATATTTTATTAATGAACCCAGATCTGCACTAGCATGTTAAATTAATGGCTTGGATGCATGTTTTCTTTTTTTTCCCCCTGACTTGTGATTTGAACAAGTACGACAAAAATCCCCTCAGGAGCACTTACTTGGAACTTGGCCTTCATGCTGCTGGTGAATTTGCATCATAATGTGGATGCGCTTGGACACAACAAGCAAAGTAAAGCAGGAGTGTAAATTAACAAAAGAGCACAGGGCCATAATTACAGGTCACACAGAGCCTGACAGAATTACAGAGATTTTCCACTGGGGAAGGGAGCTCTGTGTTCTCTCACCAGACAGAGACTTGCCACGAATGATCCATTTGTGTTCAAGCCCTGGAAGTTCCTCCTTGCTCCCCTCCCAGAGGGAATTCTCTTACAAACCTTTCCTTGGTGTGTTACTTGTGTTGCTCAGCTCTGGCTTAAGTGTAATTTTTTGTCACTGTTTCCTTCCTTTCTCACTTGAATTAGGAATTTCCTGAGTGTTTAGAAAGTAATGGCCTTGTAATGGCTGCAGACACAAATAACACCTTACTATTAAGTTTGAAAGTACTTAACAAAGCTGAAATTCCAAATCTAACCAAGTTCTTCAACATCAAGACTGGGAAAAGAAACCAAAAGCTGTTGCTCCAGAAGATCACCTATCAACCCAGTGGCCAACAAACCTGCTCAACTCAAACTTTACAAAAACAAGTTTTATATGTTCCTAGGATTTTTCCTGTATAGACACACTTCTCATACAGATGAGCTTTACAAATGTAAGCAAATGTGGTGACCAGAACCTTATATATCAAGCCTTTACATTTTTGTTAGGGGTCCAGCTGGAAATCACTTATAAATAAATACAAATGACTGGAAGTCTAAGGCAAACAGGAAGAAAAGTTAAGGCCTTTGTTACAACACAAAGGGTTCTGTTGTAACCTGTGTAAGGTATTTTTATGGCCAGTCTGGGCACAGGATGATTTAGGATTTTGTAAACTTTCCTGGAGAAAAGAAGGGTTTGGTAATGTTCTGAAGGAGGGAGCAGCATTTATTATTCATTATTGCCATTTCAGCACTCGCTGAGCAGGTGCATTACCAGTTTGTGGGGCTGTTGGAAGTCCCCAGCATGGCAGAAATGCTGATTTTTGCTGAGGAACAGTGATGCTGCACAGTTCCTGAAATGTCTTCAGCCACATTCCTACAAGAAAAGTAACCATGAGTGGAAGAAAATGGTCAGACTGCCACCCCTCATTTCCAACTGTGCATTTGTCATGGATCTGAGGATGTTCAATTCAACATGGGGTGATAAAAAAAAAAAAATTAACTGTCTGCTGTAAAAGCAGTAACCATTTTGCTGTCATATGTTTGAATTATATTCAAATGTCTCTGGTTAATTTTTCTTATCTCTTGTATTCTCTTCCAGGCAAAAACTGATGACTAATAAAATTCACAGGAGGTGTAATTTATTTTTGCTGGGTGAGGATACCCTTTTTCACCATACAGAAAAAAAACCCCTTCAATCGAACTGGGTGCAGCTCACCCCCACTCTGGCTGTAGTGCTGCTACATCACAGCCAGCCACAACAAGCCAGTTTTAGCTGGGAAACAAGAAAAATAAAGTATCATATAAAGAGAAGCTTCCATCTCCTGTCAACAAACACTGGCATTTCATATTTTCTTTAATGTTAATCATCCTTCTATCCTGAAATTTTACAGTGAAAAAAGATCAAATGTTTTATGCAATTCAGAACAAGGCAATGAGTTCAGAATAAAAATTTGATTTATGTGCCACTCCTCCTCGTGTTTCTTCAGGAAAAGAAACCCAAAGTCTAACAGCAGCAGATTGAAACTGAAATAAATAAACACACTGTCTAGCAGTTATTCCCAGCCAGTTAAAGGTCTTTTCCAGATGATTAATCCTTTATTTAGTAGCAACAATTTAATCAAAAATTGATTCAAAATAATTAAAATTCCAAGCTCCAGAATAGTTCCTTTCAATATAACCAGCAACTTCTGCCAAGAAAAAGACGAGCTTCCTTCTGGCATGCCTGAGCACTTCAGGCAGGGTGAGGAGGCTCAAAGAGGGAAGTGCTACAGGATCTCTGTCCCACCAACATCCCTCGAGAGCCCGGCCCAGCTGGAAACTGAGTCACTGATCTTTGCTTCAGTAAGTGTCCAAGGCCCCAGAATATCAAGGAAATGTGCTAATTGTGCTGTTTCCGGGGTTCTTGCAGGAGTTAAGCCAGGGGTAAAAAATGTGCCAGATCCTCACAAGGGCAGCAGTGCTGCTGTCAGGAGCAGGGCACAGTATAGTTTCCTCCTGGCTGCTACCACAGACACTTGTCCAGGCCAGCATTTCCCAATTGCCCTGCTCCACCCCTTTTCCCTCTACCAATGAACTCTGTCATGCAGTTCCTGTCCTTATCAGCCCCAAAGCAGGAATCCTGCAGGCAGTGTGTGCCGCTCCCAGCCCCAGGCCTGCTCCCGGAGTGCCCCTTGGGCCATCTGCATCGAGGTGTGCCTGCTGCCCACCTGGGGATCACAGAGAACATCCTCTGCCTCCTGTGTTTGCACAGCTTGCTGCCACAGGATCCTCAGCACAGCTTTGAATGGAGCAGGGCTGTCAGTTGAGCTCATTTACCAGAGCAGTGAAAGATTCTGCTGTTCCCCTGCCAGGCACAGTGAAACCATCCTTGTCACCCTGGGCCTGTCCGCAGTGCCCACCCTTGCTCATGGAATCTGTCAGTGGAGCAGGAAGATGGATGAGCACTCCCCAGCTATGTGGCACCTACTTGAAGTCTCACTGTGTTTACTGCAGTTCAAATGCCCAGCAGTCTTTCTGCACAGCAAAACCAACAAAACCATGCTCCAAATCAGCACGTTTCTGTTCCCTCTAACACCTCACTCCCTCAAAGCAAGGAGACTTTGATATCCTTTGGGAATAAGCTCCCCAAGTTCACCCTGGATTTCCCCACACACTGCTCCATCAGGCTTGTGCAATGCCTCCAGAGCTCTTGTGTTAGAGGAGCTGCTGAGCACCTAGTCTTTATCTCATCTCTCCAATGGTTTTACAACCTCTCCTGCATTCCAAGTTGTCTCTTCTCTGAACTGAAGGCTTCTGGAATAATCATCTCTTTCTCACACTGATCAGCCCTGGGATCCACAGAGAATTGTTGCAAGGGTTGCATCTCCTCCTGCAGACTCTCTAATCAGTTTCTCTCTGAGTCACCGATGCCATCTAAACACTCATTATCTACAAATGCAATCTTTGTGTTTTGGCTTGTAAAATTACAGTGACTTGCACCTGAAAATGTCTTGCTCCTAGGAAGGTCATCTTTCATAATTGAGATCACTTTATTACAACCAAAAGTTACGTGGTTGGTAAATTAGTTTTACCATAGATCAATTCCAATGAATAAATGTTTCCCTTTTTTTAACTGCCTCCAAGAAAATGCAACTAAGTGCAATTCTAAATAGAGAGAATTTTAGTTCAGTATTGGGAAGGAAGGACTATTTCAAATGTTGCATGCTTGCCAGGTGAAAAACTTCTTGTGGTTAACCGAATGTAGGTGCTCAGTTGGATTTACCATCTTCTATGTTACAGCATAAAACTGGATCCAGCAGTTTGTTAACAAGCAAAAAGGACTTGCTTCCAAATAGG